AGTGGCCAACCAAGGGGCCAATTTGTATCCTTCTGCAACAGGGTATACTCCTGCTCTATGCCATACCTGTTTGCATACGCATTTCAGTATATTTGAAGGCCTAAAATGTGGAGTTGCATAGAGATTATTCATAAAATATTCAAATTCAGAATATCTATATGTACCATGGTTCCTCTGCAGCAACTTTAGGGTGGCTGAAGGTGTTGGCAGCATTATGCCTCTTATTGGTTGGAATGGGCTCTCCAGCTGGAGTGTAAGCATCACACATCACCTAATAAATAGATTTTTACCGGAAGTGAGTATACACCCAAAATTATGGAAGATAACTCTGAGAGAATGGCTTCTCTAATCATAAACTAGTTATATCTTCAAAGTTAAGACAAGCTTACAAGAATGTTTTTGCCTCTCCTGAATGGATCCCTGAAGATTGCTTGTGGACTTTGAGACAATACATCAAACAGAAAGGGGACGATAGTCATTAGTTTCTGTAGGAGTAATAAGGAAGCACTGATAGAACAGCATGAGGATGAGTATATGAACATTACTATAAGATGACTTCACTGTCTTCTCCAGGAGCTTGCCCTGTGCTTGACCCATCGTAGTTCCACTTGGGAAGTTTTGCAGGGTCAGTCACTGGGCTAGAAATAGTCTGTAAAGTCCAGATTTTAAAAAGAGGTAAGTTCAAGTGGCTTTTGGTAGTGGTTCACACAGTATTAATCATCCATAGAAGAGAAGGGAAGGGAAAAAAAAAAAAAAAAGCGCATTTACCCTGGCTTTACTTCTGAGGTCCATGCCAGATCCACCGATCCTGTTTGTTCATATATAATCAAGGATCAATTTTTATGTGTCAACTCAGTTAACAGAGTAACCCCAGAACATGGTTTTAACAATCAGACGTGGTCTAGTACAATTTTATTAGCCTGATTGACTAAAAGAACCAATTGGACTAACAGGAGGATTTAGAAAATGCTGAATACGAGGATATCCTCGAATCAGAATAAAAACCTTACCCAAGGCTAACATATTCATCACAGTCTTGATGAACAGACCCAAAACAGAAACAAAAACAAAAACAAAAACAGAGAAGAGTCCTGTTGTCCCTAGTTTTGAGTATGTTCAGGAAATATGTTAAAAACAGATATTCCTGAGAAGAAAACTTACCATATGTACTCTGCGATCACCTTCTCGGTTGTATCAGAGAGGTTGAGGTTGACAAGATCTGAGAGCAGAGACATTATGAGTTGCTAAGAAGGAAGGGCTAATCAGTAAGATATGAGCAGAGGATGGAGGCTAATGGTCTTGATAGGCTATGGCCTCTCTCGCTTGGTATGAGGATCCTTTTATAGAATAGTCATAGGTGTGAAGACTGCATTCAGACACGCAACGCAAGATTCTGAAATGAATTGAACTTGGAAAACTAAAAGAATTTGGAATCAAATATTCACTTTCAGTTATTTATTTTTTAAAGAATAAAACAACAAAAAGAAATAAACAACTTGGTACCAAAAATGACGGACTAAAGGCTGCATCATGAATGGTAGGTAATGAATGAGAAGTGGGATTGGTTGATTTCATTTCATGATATGATATTATACAATACTTTGCTGAAAGCTAAGAAAGGTAAGAGATACTTTCAAGATGAAACTTTGGTGCTCTTTTCAAATTTCAACAACCTTTTCCATGTTCCCATCGTTAGGCAACTCAGTCCAAAATAAGGGTTATTTATTCTTGAATACTTAAAGGGTATATAATTTAAAATCTGTATTATAATAATAATAATAATAATAATAATAATAATAATAATAATAATAATAATAATAATAATGTTGATGTATTTTGGAACTTTAGATCTGGCAGTTTTTGTACGGTGTACGTTTCTAAAATGGATCATAATAATCAATAAAATAGGAGGGCACCGAAATAAAGGAGCTTCCAAGTAGAAAAGATGAGATTGGGTTCGTCCTCATAAATTCTGCCACCTTGCTCACATGAAACCCTAAAGCAGCATTGCTTATCTCAAGCTTTGATAGATCATATACGATGAATAATGAAGGTAAAAAAAAATACGATGAATAATAAACGAGTCAATTATGATCACCACAAAAAGAAAAAAAATCTATGTGTTTGTTCTCCACAAATATTCACATTTTTAAATATAAATTTATTTAAATAAAATTTCAATTAAAAATTAAACCATTTGAATAATTAAACAATCCTTAATACATCTAGAAATCAATAAAATTCAACCTGATTTTTATTTAAAAAAATTGCTAAATTAATAGTATATATTATTGTGTGCCTAAATCTTATTTTTTTTAAAAAAAATAAAACTTCTCATCCTTGGAAAAAAAATGATACCTTCTATTCAAATGTTGTTAGGTCTAGAGGGTAATCTTTCTAATTGTCAAAGTTCAAACTCTTGATGTTACTCAATAAGAATCAAATTCCTAATCACTTGACTCGATGCCATTAGTCGTATATCTTATTTAATGAAGTGAAATTATAATTTGTACCCGGAGAATCTTATGATGAAAGACCAACTTAAGAAATCATAAATAACAAATGGGAGGATAAAAAAAAAATCTTCCAATACTAAAAATAAGACCTATTTTCTAGTATAAATTATACTGAAGAATGAGTCACATTTTAGGATAGAAGGAATATAGAGCTAAGGACTAAAATCTAAAATAAACTAAGCTTCAGTTTTTGGGGTCATAAAACATATGTAAAAAAATTTATAAAATTATACTACTTCCGATCCTAATTATAAGACCCCATTTATAATTTACAAACAGAGTCTTATAAATAGGACAGGAGGTAGTATATTTTAGCTAAATGCATTTGAGATGATAAGGGCCCCACTTGGATAAGAAGCCGCAGGCATTTAGGGGACCTATTACAAGCATAGATCCCTAACCATATATTTATTAAGTAATTAATTATCAATTAATATTAATGAAGAAGTAAATTTAAAGGAAAGAAAGGAATTAGGCATTAAAGTTTGGTGAATTAGGCAATGTAAAATTGGATTTGTGGAGTGAGTTAATGCAATTAAGATATGAAAATTAGGACACAACATATTATAGCTTGCTTTTGCAAGTAATACTAATTTTGTGAATGGTGGCCCACCCACAACTTCATTATATTTCAATGTCATTACCCAATTGCACAATAATCCACCGTATCAGCATCATCAATATCCAAGATATTTTATTCCTTTTCTTATATTTAGTATTTTATTAATATATGTAATTATACTAAAGCCCATGCAATTTATACGAAGTCCAAGTATTATATAAATGCCTGCTCTTTAACATGTGAGTCCTCTTTTTATTTGGCGAGTTCTGGTTGGAGACCCAAGTTACCAAATTTAATTTAAATATTAAATTAAAAAATAATTCCAACTTTGGATGCTCTCATTTTTTGAATTATTAATTAATTGATTGAATATTTAAAGTATATAAGAAGGCCTTTCACTGTTCAGGGTATTTGTCAATTTTGCATAAAGCCAAACTTTTAAAACTTATCTTTCCTATTCCAATGATAGCATCCACCACGTATGTATTCTATGTTTTGTTTTGTTTTTTTTTTGAAAGCAGACTGTGCAACAATATCTGAAACCCCGAAACCAAACTTCTGAAATGTCATGTTTAAGTAACTATAGTGCTTTTCATATTATCAACTTTTCTTTCTGTCGCATTCTTTGGTTTTACAGAAAAACGGTTTTTTTTTTTTAAATATGTATAGGCAATCTAAACAATATCAGACACTAAATATGAACACATCTTCTAATAAATATTTAAATTTTAATTCATCACATTATGAGGGATTAACTATTTTCACTATACTTAATCCTGTTAGTAAAAAGGAGGTAAATAGGTTTGATAAAAGAAGTTGCAGATTGAAGGCGGAAAGCCTGAGCATTGGGTTTGTCGCTATTGCTGGCTCTCTATCGTGTTGTTGTCATTCATTATTTTTATAAAAATATAAAGTTGTTGTTATCAATTTGGAATTGAATATCTTTGATAACAATTACTATACCTCTAATCCTTAATATAAGATTCTGTTTGACTTTTAATTTGATCCTAAATATAAGACCCCAATCCACTTTGTCTCTTATATTTATGTATTTTTTTTAAAAAATAATTCTTCTAATAATGGTAGTTTTAGTCAATACACTTGATTACTAAGAATATTTTAAGAAAAACAACAATTATTTATTACAAATAACTAACTTAACTTATTTTCTTAATCTTCTTAAATTAGTCAACTAGCTCTTATAATTAGGATCGGAGGTAGTATTAAGTATATCTTTGATGTAGTAAAGACAAACTATTTATAAAAAATATTAATATTTTGAAATTTGGAATTAATTTTTTTAGTGCGAGTGAGTCTTAACTCTCAAAAGAGGGAAGAAAAATATAAAAGAGATTCAAACTCTCCTACTATAATAAAAGAAATATATGATAAGCATCTTTTCGGTGGACTGAAATCATGATCATAATTATAACAAGGTAACTTATTTATGGTTTGGCTTCTTAAGCTGCCCACCAGATCAACAAAGAAATCTGAAAAAACTGAATACGCCTAATTTTCCATTTTTACATGTCATAAAACTTTGCTATTAAGGTTGTTGGACCACAAACTTTGACATCCAGCCCCAATAAAACTAGGATTTGAATACTTTTCAAAATAGCAAAGAATAGCGGAAATCACACGAATTAAAGAACTAGACTTATCAAAAATACCTCTGATAACTTGCTTAAAACCTGACTGGTAAGAGTGATGCACAATGACCAGAAGATTAGTGGCTCGTTCAAAATTCCCTTCCTTGTATAGTAAGGTCATCCTTAGAGGCTGCAAAATCCTCTTGTGAAAAAAAAAAAAAAAAAGCCAACTATTTTCACAGAGAGAGAGAGAGAGAGAGAGGAGTGAAAATTATTGACCATATTATCCAGTCCGCCACTGAAATCAGAAGGAGCGAAAAAATGTGCAATTTATTTGCCATGCAATCATATTCATCCAACCCATTGTTGAAATGAAGATATTCATTCAAAGTTCAAACTTGGCAGCCAAGCTCACCTATAATATAAAATATGTAATATTCCGGTACAATACATTCATAAGTGAAACAGGGTCCATAGCCTTTCCAGAAAAGCTTTTCAGTGTTGCTCTATGAATTTTCTCACCTACTTTTAAGCTCCTCTAATATCTATCTCATCCATAAACGAATAAATGTAATACTGATGCATTTACTGTTTCACCAAACGATCAAAAATTGGACGTGTTTTGGTTTTCAAGTGATCCCAGATAAATTATTCAACAGTCTTCATGTCCATGGAACGGCTTAATATTGGTAATAGAAGTATCAATGTAGCCCTCAACGTTCCTCCTTTACAACTGGCATCATACGACCTGAGCCAATCACAACACCCAAATGAGATGATGATCTCGGCGGAATAATTTTCATGAAAGTATTATACAATGGCCACAACAATATGAATTGATTCTTAAGAAATTACACAGCAGGAAGCAACTGGGCTAAACGAGTTTTCTTAAATGACCTCTAGTAGACAGGGGAAAAGCATTAGCTGAAAATAGAAATTGAAACGTACATCAGACAAGGAAACACCTGTAGGAAATACCATGTACTGAAACCCATGAAGAAGCTAAGCACCTAAGCACCTGCGGAAAAAAGCACAAAAACAAGCTAACACGAGGTAAGTAAAAAATTACCATCATAAAGATCAAATTCTCTTTAGACCTATAAAATTCACCTTTCAGCATAGGATTTCATAGACACAATACTTCCTCAATGGATAAGATCTCCTTCTAGTCCACTTAGCTGCACCTTTCCTCATATTCTTGCATGTGTTCAATTTACCCAGACAGAAGTCATTGAATCAATGATAGATTCGAGGAAATATTAGTTGCAAAGGATCATCCCTAAAGTTGACCGCATAAAGCACCCAAACATAACACGCTGCATCGTTACACTTTATCAAAACTCGCAAGGAAATATTTCCATCTATAAAATAGATGC